TTTTTCTCTTTGTATATCCTGTCATCCTCTCCTCAAATGCATATACACAACCCCAGAGTATTGGAGTCTGCATAACAGAAGTGTAGACTTTTTGAAGAGCCCCTCTTCTGTTGACTTGTTTAGACGGCACACACCAGCAGTTTTCTCAGTTGAGCTCACTGATGGCTATTAAGTTTCGAAATGGTATACCTGGAAGGAACAGTGGAAGTTGGAGTATGCAATACAAGTTCTGACAATTAGGAGAACAGGCATATGTTATATTTATATTTATTCTGCTGTCAGCTACACAAGAGTAGTAAGTACATATCAGAAATTTAGCAGAAAATAAATATCACTATTAAAACCTTTCAGTTGCATCTGTTTGTATTGCATTTGCTCCATATTGTATGTTGTGGATGTATTTAGAATTCTCTTCCTTTTTGCCTTTATCCAGGCTGGAGCTATACTCTTCAGGAGAGGAGGATTCCAAAACCTAAATCCAAGTCTTATGGTGGAAACTTTTCTTGGAACAAAAGAACAAGGGTGTCCACAAAATAGGTTGGCAATGGCTATCTCTGTCTGACTGTGAATAAAGTCAGCTGTGCTGTATTTATAGTCCATGTATAATACATCGCTTAATCTCCTAATAAATTTGACCTTTAAACTACAGATGCATCTTGTGGTGTCTATTTAAAATGTTTTTTGATGTCTCCAGTTGAACCTGTTACAAACTTCCCTATATATAGAGGAGATTTGGGGTGTTCATACCTCTAGGAAATTGCTGTACTTGGAATCTATTAAAAGGAATGTTTGAAATCAGCTGTAACATTAAAGATTGTCACTTGCCTTTCATGATAATTTTATAGTTCAATTAGTTTCTTAAAATGCCCATCCTAGTATGTAGGAATTCTTAATAGAAGCTGTTCTGTTTTTATTCTCATTATACAAGAGAAATTCATCACAGCCTAACAGCATGGCATGTAGAAGTCAGTTTCTGCTTATTATTTAAACTTTTCTACAGAACTGCATGTGCTGTAAGCTCTTATAAGTGCAAATTAATATTGTGCTATAAATATGACTGCCAGAATATCTTATGTTTTGCGTAATAAATTACCATGTGTTAACTTCATAGGAATAAATAAATAATATTTAGTTATGGCTTAAATGTTCAAGTAGCTCCTCCTTTATGATGGTACCCCAAAAGGCAATTATAAATACCAAGTTAAGTTTGAAAGCTCCCCATTTTAACAAGTTATCAGAATAAGTTGGTAGCAAGTCCTCTCATATCAAGGATGCTAATTGTACATATTTTATCACACCTGTTTCGGGTTTTTTGTTTTTTGTTTTTACTTCTTTTGTAACGAAACAAACTTTCATGTTAAGGTTTCTCATGCTTCAGATTCTTCATGATAGAGCTCATTCAGCTCTAATACCATGTATGTCCCTTTTACATTCTAATTTTCACTAAATCATAAATGTTATGTAGAAAATTATATCTGCAGTTATTTTGATTTATCTGTTGCTTTTTATTTATCTCATTACTTTTTTTCTGTAACGTAGTTAATAAATTGAGACATCAGTAAATAATCATGGAAGTGAATTATAAATGTTGTACTGCAAATAGTTTTATCCCATGTCCCTCAAAAATGAGTCCAGACAAATCCTTTTTTTGCAAATGGTTACAGATATTTACAGGAAAAAGCCACTTCAAAATGGTGCAACTGCAACTTATTGATACAGTGACCATAAGAGAACACAACCAAATATCTACAGTGACCCAGACCCAATAATATTCCTGTTAGATTTGTGTATCCCAAAATTGCCCTTTCTGCCAACTGACATTTATTTAAACTACTGTTTCTGAGCTAGTTTTAATGTAATCACAGACTTATGTTTCTACTTCTTTACCATAGAAAAGAACTGCATTCCAGATGAGACCTACTCATCTTAAAGTCTACACACTGTATTGTACAGTGAAAGGAATGAGTTGAACGAGGAACCCCAAAGAGTGTGCCAACTGGAATGTTGAACAGCCCAATTTCCATTGTCTCTGCACATATTTCAGACAGTCTAACACCTTGCTTTCCACTAAGGAAAAACTGGTAATCCATGAGTGAAATATTTTTTTGTCTTCTGCAAGTCACAAGCAGCAGGATTCCACTTGCTGTAACACTAGCCCATGTAGACTACACTGGTAATGTGAGTTAGGTCCCTGAAGATATTCCCACTAGGAGCCTTTCAAAAGTACTAAGTCAGGTAGGCAATAAATGGAAGTTTGATGCCTTTGATGGACATACAGGCTGCTGACAGCCATGGAAAAGAAAAAGCACTTTAACGGCAGAGGCGGTGTGTTAATTCAACCCAGCTCTGCAACGTCCATATAGATCAGGTGCTTCAGTGGAGTGCTTTGACTCTTTTATCGAATAGTTGATTCAATTAGCTGTTAGATTAAAGCCCCAGCAAAGCCCCACTGAAGCACCCACTCTATATAGATGTCAGGTGAGCTGGGTCCAACTAACACAATGTCTCTTCTGGGCATGCACTGTGCTCGGTGTGGGGGTGCACCACGTTTAAAGTAAAGCACTGTTAGGGGATGGAGGTTCTATCTGTAAGTAGTCTTTGGGCCAAACTGTGAGTGATTTCTAAGGTGGCACCTGATTCCATTCCCACTTCTGCACAAGTCGGAAAGTGATTCCATTCCCAATTCTGCACAAGTCAGAGAGTGATCCAAGTCAACCCTGCTCAGAGGCACCTAGATTTGTTTTGAAACATCTCTGGATACCTAGATTTGTGCCACTGTGCATGCTTAGAAGTAATTCAAATGAATCACTCCCATCTAAGATCTATTATGATACAACAGAAGGTTCACAGAAGTCCCCAATTCCTTAGGCAGGATTGGGGCATGTCTAGTGATTTCCCTGAGAACATCCATGCATCTTGATACAAGACGGTGGCTATTGATAAATGTGGAGGAAAAAATGCACTTTAGCAGGAGAGGGAGCGCATTAGTTGGACCCGGCTCTGCAGTATCGATATAGATTGGGCTCTTCAGTGGGGCTTTTTTGTGCTTTTGTCTTAAAGCTAATTAAATCAGCTATTAGATAAAAGCACCAAAAAAGCTTTGCCCAATCTATATACACAATGGGCAAGCCAGGTCAAACAAACACATTGCCTCTTCTGGGCATGTGCTGAGCCCAGCACAGGGGCAGGCCAAATTTAAAGTAAAGCACTGTTTTGTTTTTGTTTTGTTTTACATCTCTAAGCAGCCAGTGAGTGTGGTGGGTGGTTATCTTTATCCTACCCTAGTGGGAAGAACTTGGCCAGGAGGTGAGAAACCTGGGTTCTAGATTCTCTTATTTTCATGCTTCAAACCCTTATCTCCCACTTGCCAGGAAAGTGGCCTAAACACAGAGCTAGGTTAGGTCTAATAGCCAAAACTCAATTTCTGTGATTTGTCACTAGACTTCTGGGCAAACGGTAGGCACCATAACCACTTGCATATGAGAGTAAACGAAAGGTGCTGTGCTTTATGCTGAAGTTAGTGCTGCTACTTGTCCATTAGCCATACTGATTCAGTTAGCTAGCTATCTCTCTTGCGAGTAATCTGCATTTCAAGATGATGGGAATACTGCCTAAAGACCCCTCTTCTGTTCCAAGGCAGGATCCATGGTACTAAGCCACCTTTCACTTGGTCCCACATCTTCCCTCTTGGCTGCCTGGCTGACTCAGCTTTTCAAAGGCCTGAACAATGTGCTGAATTAACACAACTAAAAGAGTTTCTGCCACAATCAGGTACAGAGCCAAAAATCCCTCCCCATCCAGGGCAGCATCCCTCTCACTGATCCATGCTCCCTCTTGTCCCACATATCTTCCTTGCCACATTGTCTGGCTTCAAGAGAACTGAAGAATTCTGTGCCTGTACACTGCTGGAAACCAGATGAAGTTTAAAATCCCTGCTGGGTCATAAGTGCCTAGAACATGGGTCTCCTACTCCTTAGGCAAGTGCCTTAGCCACTAGACTATCAGGATGAAAAGCACTCTTCCTCCTTCCATAGTTTCACTGAGTGGCACAATGTTACATTTGTCTTCATCTATTATTATTCTGTCACATGTCCACAGTTGGTTTTGATGAAGCCTTTAGTCATGCTCAAACCTTGGCCCCATCTACTTTTCTCCAGTCACTTCCCCAATTTTGTTTTCTGTTTGCTTTTCTATTTGGAACCATTAGAATTACAGGATAAAGTCTTAGGAATAAAGATGTTTTTACTGGTAGAAATCCACATATATCCATTAAGCAGTCAAAAAACCTTGTTATGCTCAAAATCAAATTAAATTCAGGAACTTCCAAGAAAAAAAACCAAGTGTAAATACTGAATCATAAATGTCAGAGGATGCTTCTACACAAGATGCTTTATTGCACATTAGACTAATGTGCAGTAAAGCATCAGCATCTACACATGTGCATCAGCATCTACACAATTGCATGCACTGTGCAATTACTGCACAGTATATTACTTTAATATGCTATTTTCTTGTACCTGTAGATACAAGTACTAGAAAAAGGGTGCATTAACTAGTGCACCATACTACATGTGTAAACACTGACCGGAAGCAAATTGGGGGTCACAGGGGGCAGGGAGAGCTGACCCGGCTTTGTCGGAGGCTGTCTCCCTGCTCTGTGGAGATTGGGACCCGTCCCAATCTCCACGTGGCTAGCAGGCAGCCAAAACATCTCCCCCTCCGCTCCTATTCAGGGCCAGCCCAATCTCCTTCCAGTTGGGATGGAGCTTCCTG